CTTTTGCAGGCTGTATTTTTCAGGATTGGTAGCCAGGTTTTGTTGATTTTTAGACTTTCAACTGCTCCTGTCTGTGCTCCTGCCCTCTGAAGATGCCAGTCACAGATGCTGGCGAAATGTTAGGAAACAAAACTTCCAGAACACGGCCACACGGCCCGGAAGACCCACACCAGTCTTCAGTCTTGTTAAGCTCACAGTATTCTTTTAGGATCATAGTGTATATGCATGCGTGTGTGAGAGAAAGGGAGAGAGGAATTAGTCGATTTTTAACTGAAGTTCTCAATGTCCTTACCCAAAGTCCACAAAGCATGGTGTTACAATTATCCCTGCAAACATTTCTGAAGCAGCCATATTTTAAAGAATTTCCCAAGATAGTGGGAAATTGTTTCAACAGTCTCATTAAGTATATCCTGAACTTATAAGAGTTGGTCTTCAAATCATGATTCCTGTACTCCTAATGCTGGATAAACAGACATTTTTCATAGCACCATAATAGCTACTATCTATAGCCACTCCACAGAAAGATATGGAATTTTCTTCATGCCTTCAGGGCAATGTTGCATGTGGAGCATGCAAAGTTCACAATATCATCTGCCCTGATTTGGTGACTAGAAAATTTTCTAGTTATCTTGGAAACCAAAAATATTTTTTTCAAGACAGAGGTGCTATCATCCATTGAACTATATTTGTTGTGACACATGACTTTGTGAAATGTTAGAGTGCCTTTTGCTTTGCTGCCTGATTTCACACACGAAAAAATCAGTTTTGCAAAATGGCTCCATTTGTTTTCTGGAAGAACAAAAGGTAGCACATCTGTTAGTATAGAAAAATGTCTATGTCATTCACAGAGTTTGATGCATGGATCTCTTCTTGAAGTACAGAACAGAAGCTTGGCAGTTGTCTAAGCTAAAATGTGGTTGGATAATTTCTGATTCAGAATGCTGGGGGAACCAAGCCATTTTCCTAACATAGTATATTATGTAAAAGTAGCAGATAGATTCTGTTAATCTGGATTTAAGGCTAAGCACCCAGTAATTCAAAGCAAATTAATTTCACATGTAATAGTTGTAAAGCACAATAATATACAGCATTCCACATGTGAGTATATTTTCTCACAATATTTGCTTCCATTAAAGAAGTTTGCAGTATATGATAAGATATAAGTTTGCAATATGATAAAGAGATTGCATTTTGATCACAAATAGCATATATTAGACTGTTATCCTCACAAGGCAGAGAGCCAGTGTGGTGTAATGGTTGTGTGTTGTAATGGCATTGGGGAGTCTCAGGCTCACATTCAGTATCAGCCATTGAAGCTTACTGGGTGACTTTGGATCATTCTCTCATCCCAACCTACCTTTTAGGATTGTTATTGCATAGAAAATGGGAAGGAGGAGTATGATGTATGCCACCTTGAAGGAAAGTAGGATACAGCTCTATCAAATAAATATGAAAATCTGTCTGATACTGACCCCAAAACAGAAAAAGAACCTATAACAAGTGCAACAGTTTGGTAGTCTTTGTTTCAAGTAGTAGTAGTCTCAAAATATCAAGGAAGGGGGGATGGGTTAGGTTGAGAACATGTCTTCATCAAGATTGCTCCATCCATCAGCTTCAAGATTAAAAGAGAGCTGAGCCTGGGGAGAAAATACTGTGAAAAACTGTTGTATCAATCCACTCCTTAAGAAGTTTGTCTTCTTGAAATGTGAATGTTAGACTTTGGATCTGGTATGGTAGATTTTTCAGAACGTAGGTAAGAAAAGGATTTATTTTGAGATTAAGGAATGCTGAAAAAAATTATCCCACAATCCTGATAAGAACAGACTGCTCAGAATGCCTGCTTTTGCAGAAGGTGGAGAGAAAGAGGCAAAAATTATCCATGTTCCTTACTGCAGATTTTATCTCTCTAGGAAATTTTGCATATTATTCTTTGCAGACATAATTGTGGGTATTTCAGTCAATAGTACATCCAATTAGGATACGGACACCTTTATAACACTGCTTGAAATCAGTTGTAATACTTACGTACTTTTAGACACTAAATGTTTTCAGTTAAAAACATTCTGCTGCATGTTACTGTAACTCCTATACACAAATTGGACTACAAAAACGGCAGTGAAAGATGTATTAGTTAAGAGTTACTCAACCATTTTTCATTAAAAGACTTCTTCCATACCAAGTAATCTGAATTTCTAAGATATTTCAGCCTTCCCCCTTCTTTCTGTTCTGACTTTCGTTACACCATGTGAAACACAGATAAACTCAAACGTATTCCCTTCCATTACACTGATTAATAAGGTAATGGTAATTGATGTTGGTACTTAACAAAAACATACCCTAGTCTAATAAAGAACTCAAATTCATATGCACCACTGAGTGTTCTTTTTAAATGAAGATGATCTTAAGTTATTAAGAAGGCATTTATTCTATTGCTGCATCAGACTATGAGCTTTCCCCTGTACATTTTTAAAAGATTACTCTTTTAAAGGTTAAATGTTCAAATTCTCTTGAAATAAGAAAAAGCTGTTTTAAAAATCAAATAAAAATGTATTCTGTCTTCAAAATAAGCTACTTACATTTGGAATAGGTGGACTCTAGGTTTAAAGTTTTTATTTATGGATTGTTGAATACAATAGATTTTACAAGGCACAACCATGGATTACAGGTACACTGGCAAAGGAAGAAAGTTTATTTGAAAATATGTACATTTCATCCACAAAATTTTGTATCTTGATATTATGTTATTTTCTTTATAAAATTCTTGTACTATATTAATCAAGATACTTTTCTTTGAAAGAAATTACTGTTATTCCCTGGGTGTTTCCCTTATAAAATTATTGGTCTGCAAAAGCATTAATTTCCCTTTGCAACATAAGATGTAAAATAGTGTATATGTCTGAAAGGTCACTGAATTGTGCAAAATTTAAGTAAATTAGGTAAAGATGCATTTGACATTTCAGGAGACAGGAGCACTTGAAAAGTGCTTAGTAGAATTTAGCAAACACTGTGAAAGAGTTATATAACTATTTTTTTTAGTCAATGTATTTGATAATTACTGCTATTGGTTTATTAATAGCAAAGACAACCTACCTAGAGAGTTTTTTATTTATTGTGTTCATTGTATTATGTTCATTTTAATTCTCTGAATTTGCACTGAAATTTATTTTGGAAACGTGTTACTTAATCTATCTGTACAGGTGCATAAAATAAAGTTGATTTTCTTACAAACAGTAGTGTTGCTGTTGAATTCTTAATTCTGGGCTTTGACATGCATGTTGAAAAGCCAAAAATTCAAATGGGCTCATGAATAAAGTATGAATAAAGACAGTAGTACAAAGATGACTTTCACTACAGTTATGCAGTAGAAATGTATTGCAAATATTTCCTGAACAAGAAATAATAAAAGCACAAGAAAGAAAGTATTTCAGATCAAATACATTCACAAGCAGCAGCTAAGAGAGGGACAATAGAAAAGCTTTCTATTCAACAGTCTACACTAGTGAACCACATTGCAAATTATACTCTTGGCAGATGTCCGACTTTCCTGTGGACAAATTAATAAGATTTGACACACTTGGGAGGCTATAACCATTCAAGCCATTGCCTTGTTATTCTTACTTTAAAAAGTTTTGAAGAGACTGACAAACATCTATTTAAATGAAATCAAGGAGGGAGGGGAGGCAAGACAAACAGAATGACATATAATACTACCAAATCAGGAGTTTTTGTTTGAACAGTTCTGAGCTCTTCGGTGGAACTTGCCCTCTTCTCTTTTTCATTAGGAGTTTGTAAAATGGTACAGATTACAGTACATGAGAAGAAATCAATTTATGGTCAGGAAATAATTCAAGAACTGAGGAAAAGGCCATGTCACTGCTCCATTTCCAAGCTGCACTGCAGCCATGTTCCTTTTTTCTGATGCAGAAGGAATGTTCTTGTTGATGGACAAACTGGGGAAAGTTTGGAGACATACCTCACATGCACCAATAGCAACGCTCAGGAGAAAAGTGAGTAAAATAAACTATATTCTTTAAATATTAGGATAACATAAACTGGCTTCAATTCATCAGTGAAGAAATCGAATGCTCATTTTCTGTTCTACATCCACTTTCTCCAAAACCTGTAGAAGAAGAGAATGGTTAAACACAGTTAGAATATTCCAGTTTAATTTCATTTTATTTAATCTTGCTATTCTAGAGAGGGTCCTTATATTTTTCACACTGGAAATGTTTCTTGTGCTCCAGATTTATGTATTCTGTAGTCTCAATCAGAGGCAGAGGTAAGCAATGCCTACAAACAGCTCCCCTGGTGGCTCCTATGTCACACGATCCTTTCTAGATTAAAATAAAAGGGAAATTAGCATGTTACTGAGTAAAATGCCAGTCCCTAGTATCTTAGCTTACAAGAATGTCTCTGGGCCACAAACATTCTTAAAAAAATAGTACAAGTGGTAGCAGCTTGGAAGTCTGTCCAGAAAAAGGACAAAAGTAAACTGGGGAGGTTTAGAGTATACTAGTGGATTTGAAATTGTGGTCAGAAGCAATTTCAGATACTCATGTTCTGGTAAATGGATATTGTGATTATCATGGTGGAATGGCTAACCATTTTGTTAATATACCCTTTCTGTGGCAGCCATTTTAAGTAAGAGTCCACAAGTGTGTCACACATGTATACTGCTTTCACTCACTCACTGTCATATATATAATCCACTCTCACATACCCACACTCCTTTATACCATTATTCCTCTCCCCCACACACCAGTTCTCTTTCTTTCACTCCTATACCCTTCTCTCCCTTTCTCCTTGCCACACATAAACCAATCCCACCTCCCACAACACACAGATCCACAGGCTCCTCCGAGGTGAAAAAAAAAAATGAAGGGACCTTGGGAAGGGGAAAAAAAAGAGAGAGAACAAATACAGATAGACCCCACTTAACAACTGCCCGGTTTAGTGACTGTTTGAAGTTATGATGGCATTGAAAAAGTAACTCTACTACCAGTCCTCACACTTACGATGGTCGCAGCGTCCTGCAGTCATGTGATCACTATTTACATGCTTCACAGCCAGCTTCTGACAAGCAGAGTCAATGGAGAAGCCGGCAGTAAAATTGCAAGTCATGGTCACATGTCTCGCATAATGACGATAGGTGATTCACTCAACAACTGCAGTGGAAGTGATGTTGTAAGTCTGGCACAGTCATGTGATGTTTTGCTTAACAACCGTGTCACTTACCGATGGAGTTGCTGATCCCAATTGTGGTAGTTAAATGAGGACTACTTGCAAAATAAAAATGGCTGGAAATGAAAGGGGAAGGAGAAGAGCCCTACAAGTGTAAAGGATGGATGTTTGTAATTAAGAAGTAGAGGGGGAAAAACTGCCCCCTATCACTGCTGTCTCACTGACTTGAGAAGAATGCTTTGAATCCACAGATGGAAGCTCTCCAACCATGTATTTCCATTTTTTTCCCCTAGAGTGCTCACTCTTGATATGGCAGAAGCTGTGGCTTCTTTCTTTCATGGAAACAGATGCCCAGATTCACAGAATAAGGAAGTCTCTTCCATGAATTTCATACATTTTTCTTGAATCCTTACTTTCAATGAGACAGAAGCTAGGCTTCTCCCTTTCAAAAGACACTGTCTCTGTGAATGTAAAATGGCAATCCCACTTCAAAGGAAAACCGGTGGGGGAAACTCTTGCTTTCCTTTTGAGTAGCTATGAGGAATGACAACTGGCAACAAGAACAGTTTCAGATTAATCTGCAGGGACCATGAGCTCAGCCTGTCTCAGTCCTGCTCTGCTACTCTGGAACAGCATTTCCACAAAAATCAGGCCATTCCTGGCCCTTTTGAGCTTTCAAAAAGCAATTAAGACCTGGCTGAATGTGGCTCTCATACCTCAATACACATAAATCAAACAGAACCCATATTTTCAAAACACCCACAAGCACCAAAGAACAACTCATCAAATTCATACAACCTCTCTACAGGAGGGTCCATTTCATACACTGGACCCCAAAGACTAGCTGGAAAAACAAGTCTTCATTGCTTTTTTGAAAGCTCAGGAGGGTCAGGACTGGCCTGAACTTTTGGGGAACTCTATTTTGAAAAAGCAGGGCAGTGACTGAGAAGGGCTGAACCCTTGGTCTTTGCAGATGGCACTCTCGAGGGATAGTCAGAACCCAGAGTTCATAGTCAGTATCCCATCTAGGTACTGACCAAATTAAAGTCACCTTCAAAAAGACTGCTATATTAAATGTCCTTGGTACAGAGAGATGCCTTAGTTAGCTAGCTGTGGTTTCTTTATATGTTTATATCTTTTATGTGTTTGCTGTGTTATTGTCATCCACTGTGAGTTGTAGGAAATAGGCAATGTGTAAAAATAAATAAATAGTAAATTTAAGTGTGGACCTTCAAGAATTAAACAACATATAGGGAAAAAAAATCTGGACAACCTTTAGATGAAAAATTTCTTTCAATTGTTATACAGGTAGCCCTCCAGTTACGACTGCAATTGGGATCAAGATGGCCATCACTAAGTGATGCGGTCATAAAGTACAATGTCACGTGACCGCATCACTTAGCAATGGCAATCCAGGCAGTCCTGGTTGTGGTTGTAACCCAAAACGCACAGGTCATTAAACAGGAAACAGAGAGAGTCCCAGGTAAGGAGCACAGGGTGCAGCAGAGGGGTAGGGGAGGCCCTGGGAGGCCTGGCGCAGGCCGCGCGCTAGTCAGGGAAGGGGGTGCTCTGGGCAGTGTGAGCTCAGAAAGGCCGGGGAATGAGGGTGTGGGGTGCATGGATTGCAGGGAGGTTGGGGAAAGAGAGCGCGGGGTGCATGTGTGTGAGTGCAGGGAGGCTGAGGAAAGAAGGCACATGGTGCATGAGATTGCAGGGAGGCCATGGAAACAGGGCATGGGGAATGTGCATGTGTGTGTGTGATCATAGAGAGGCCAAAGAAAGAGGGTGCGGGGTGCATGGGTGCGATCACAGGGAGGCCATGGAAAGAGGGCATGAGTGTGTGCATGAATGTGTGCGATTGCAGGGAGGCCAGGGAAAGAGGGCATGAGTGTGTGCATGAATGTGTGCGATTGCAGGGAGGCCAGGGAAAGAGGGCATGAGTGTGTGCATGAATGTGTGCGATTGCAGGGAGGCCAGGGAAAGAGGGCATGAGTGTGTGCATGAATGTGTGCGATTGCAGGGAGGCCAGGGAAAGAGAGTGTGGGGTGCATGTGATCGCAAGGAGGTCATGCAAAGGAAGGCCAGTGGGGGAGGGAGACTTGTGACCTTCCTTGCTGGCTTCCCATTGAGGCTTCCCATTGACGTTGCTTGGGGAAAGCCAGCAAGGGAGGTTGCAAATGGCAATCATGATACCGCATGACGCTGCAACTGGTGGCACTGCAACGGGTGGAACTTTGAGGACTGGTCATAAGTCTCTTTGTTCAGCAGCACTGTAACTTTGAATGGTTGCTGAATGAATGATTGTAACTTGAGGACCACCTGTAAAATGGAATGGTATGATATACCCTAATACTTGAGTAAAGAGGTTTACTGTTTTGAAAGTTGTCACTAACTTTAACGAACTCTGCAAAGGAGATTGCACTGTCGCCATCTTGATCAGCCTCCTGGATTGTTCTATCGGCAATACTACCAAGTTGTTCATCAGAGATGTTTACACCAACCATCATCCGCAAGACCTGTAATGGACAAAAGTTCAAGGAAAATGAGAGATTAGGTTTTGTTTTAAATTCAAACTATAAAAAACAGTCTATAAAACTCATTGCTTGCAAGGCTGCCAACTTTCTTTTTAAATATGTAGATTAAAGTAGAATATGGAAAGCTCATTCCAGATGAAAGGACATCAGCCCACATCTGTTTGATACCATCAACAGAATCTGGTATTTCAAAGATAAACCATTTAAAGAGGCATCCTTACCTTGAAAATTTTATCAAAATAATAAATAATATTTATAAAATATATTTTCCAATGTTTGGACACAGTTCTCAAAAGTAGTTACTGTAGGCACAATGGACATAGTGGACAACTCACATCTCTCATTACTCACCCTACAGAGGATGGGAGTTAGGGTATCTGGAGGGTGGCACATTACCCATAATATACAGAAATGGATTTCACCCAAAGACTGTTCCTTATCCACAAATAATAATTAGCAGAAGGCTTTTACCTAAGAATAACTATGTGAAATCTTCAGAACAGTTTCATAAAAATGAAACAAAAGTTCAGAACACCAGGGAACTGCAAAGTCAAAATTATAAACATAACTTTACCAGAATAGAAATGTGAGAAGGAATATCTACAGAAACAAGAGGTAGGCCAGAACCCAGCTACTATATGTACATGAAATGATATATTTTTCTCCCATTGGCTCTATTATAATGTGCAATACCACATTTAAAAATGTATACAGAAATACCCAACTGGCAAATATTTTATGTTTAGTAACCATTCAATCTCATCCTTTAAAAATGATCACTTACAAGGCACAAAACCTTTTTTTAAGGATAAAATAAGAAAGTAATTTGAATCAGATTAAAGTTATCTATAGATTATGCAATATTACCCTACCTGAAGCAGTTCATCCCGAGAAATTTTATCATCTTTATCCAAGTCATATAATCGAAAAGCAACTAGAAAATGAAATGAAACAGGATTAGCATCTTTTCCACTTCTGCCATTTACAAACTATATCACATAAACCCTAAGGATTCAGAGCAATATACAGGTCATAATGTAAAGGCATTTTCTTAATCTTTCAGTGTTGCTAATGGATCTTACATATATGTAAACTAGCTCAATAATGAATATAGATCAGTAGTTCTCTAATATGACAATTTATACATAATTTACATTGTTAATTGTCAGCATAAAAACTTTTTGTCATAAACATACATTTATAGAATGGTAATATAAACCTTCAAGTGGGAACCAAAGGAAGATTTCAGCTTTTAGAATATATTAGGATTCTGAATTAAAAGTTTAATAAATGCCCAATATTTCTGATGATTCTGATGAAATAGACAATAGCCATTGCCTCTGCAATTTTGACAAGGTTTTCAATTTGTTTACTATAGTTTGATATACACCCATTGAGGAATATTACAAAAAAATTGTTATTGAAACTTTATTGTATAGTAGAAATGACCACTCAGAAATATCTCACATTTCCATGACCATAGGCCCAAAAAGGTTTGGGATTTCTGCAGTGGAGTATGGGCACTAGGTGACTGTGCCAAAGATATCATGGATAATAGAAATTTTGAGGATATTATTTCTATAAAATAAGAGAAAGCAAAGTGACTTGATAAACGCTAATATAGAACAAACAGCAGAATCATATCAATGAGTACTGTCCAAAACTGCCAGGGTTAAAAAATCAGAATTGTTAGGCAGGAACTATGGAAGGAAGGCAAGGTACTGAAAATCTCTGGAGGTAAGAACAAGGAACTTTTAATGGATCTAGGCACAAAGATGCAGCCAGGATAGAGGGAGGGAGATCATGTGAGTATAGCAGTAAGAACAGGTAGTCCTTGGTTAACTACCATTTGTTCAGTGATTGTTAGATGTTACAGTAGCACTGAATGGATGGTAGTTACGCTCAGTCCCCGAAGTTATGGCTGCTGCAGCACCCCCATGGTCATATGATCAAAATTCAGGTGCTTGGCAGCCCTCCTGCACTTACGGCTGCAGGGACGCTTCAACTCCCTCCACCTGCCTATCTCCCCTCCATCTCTGCCCTTTTGGTTGCCCTGCACTCCACCGCCTCTGCAGGCCCTGCGCTCTGCTTGCCTTGCCGTCCTGTGCTCTGCTTGCCCTACCAGCCCCGCCACCCCCAGCTGACCTTTGCCATTTTCTTCCTCCTGCTGCTGATGTGATGTGCCCGGCCTGGCTCTTCACGAGGTAGCTGCTGGCTGCACCAGACCTTCATCCTGAGGCCACACGTGCCCTTGTCCAAATCACATGTGGCCTTGAAGCCTTCTAAAGCCTCATGAGAAGGCCGCATGCGATTTAGACAAGGACACAAGTGGCCTTGGGAAGAAGGCCTGGCACAGCCTCATGAAAGACCAGGCCAGGCATGCCATGTCAGCTGTGGAAGAAGACGGTGAAGGTCAGCTGGGGCCACTGGAGCACAGGGTGGCAGGGCCAGCAGAGGTGGAGAAGTGCAGGGTGGCCAAAAGGGCAGAGATGAGAGGAAGAGAAGTGGGTGGGGGGAGCTGAAGAGAAGGCAGTCCCTTATCTTACTGAGGCTTGGGGCCGAGAGGGACCAAGATGGGAATGGCTTGATCCGGGTGGGTCCTCGCCTGATGACCGGGTGAATTTGGTTAACGATGGCAACCAGGAACACTGGGATTGATGTCACTAAGCGATGAAGTTACGTGATGTTGCACTTTACAACTGCATCACTTGGTGATGGAAATTCTGGTCCCAAATACTGTAGTTAACTGAGGACTACTTATACTCAAAATAGGAGAAGGACCAAGGTAAGACAACTGAGGTAAGTTTGCACATACATTTTTAATAGCAAAAGGTCAGCCCAATAATCAAAATATTTACACAAGAGCTTTGTAATCCTTATATAAGAATTTTGTAATCCTCTTTCCATTATGATTGGACCAGTAAAAGTTCTGATAAAGAAAGTGATGATTTTGGTTTGTATTCTCTCTTCCCCTCTTTCACTATACCCCAAATTAATGCAGAGTTTCCTATTGCCTGCCAATTCCTTATTGCTTTGTGTTTGCCTTTTTCATTTATGGGTCTTTGATTGAAGACAGTGTAAATTTGGGATTATTTTTGAAGTAAGAAATTAAGGTAACCACCAGAAGAGAAGGTATAAGTAGCGTCAGGAAGGAGGCATACTTACTCTCTTTAGACCCATTAATTTCCAGTATTAAATAATAAATATTACAATAGTAACATGTAAACTCAAATAAGTATCAGAACTACAGATATTGCTTTGTCATAATGGAGATAAGAACAAGTTTAACTTTTACTTCTGTAAGACCTGGAGTCAACTTTAAATTATATTAAAGAAAGGGGGGCAAATCTTAAAATGAAAAAACATGAAGTAGGATACAAACAATACAGTTAGTGTGAATAGATGTACCATTAAAAATGTCTTACAGTGCAATTTGTTGCTCCGGCTGTTAAGAGGTTCTGGCCCATTCTGGTCTTTGCTTTTTTCATTATCCTCAATGGGTCGGAAGTGGGCCAAAGTCCTCATGAATCCACGAAAATTCACCTGATCTTCTCTACACACATACAATCCTGATTGTTAGATTATTTTAACAAATGCTTCAAATAAGTATGAACAATGAATTGCTGCTATTTTTTGTGTAACATTATTCTGTAATACTGTAGTTTCCTTTTCAATTGTTAGAAATTAAAGGTAACCTCTTGTTCAACCAAACAATATTGAACTGCCATAGCAAATCTCTTTCTCCCTGTCTCTAAATGAGAATAGTCTCAATTAGCAAGTAGTCAAGGTTTCACCTTCCACGTACATGTTTCCTTCTCCACTGTAGCCTGCCACATGGATCCTCAAAAGCTGTTCCAAAGTATCTCCCTAACTCTCTGGAATAGATGTCTAGGGTACATGGGGAAATCTTATAGTGCAACAATGTATTATCAAACAGTGACAAAATGCTACAAAAATGCTAGTGTATTTGTATGCTACAGTTTAGAACCTTAATGGAAACCTCAAGTATCAGGGGATATTTAACTGCTGCTTCTTTGAGTATATGCAACTGGCAGCAATTGAAGATTAAAGCCACAATTGTTTCTAATTTTATTCAGATAATCTTGAAGGTCAAGTCTGTAATCTGAAATCTCACAGGTTAGCGTTTAAGAATATCCATCTAGATATATTCTAGTAGCATTCTCATTGATAAATATAACTCAGACAACACATCATAGAACTTACCCTTCTGGAAAAAAGGCATTGATAATCCTATCCCCCAATGGGTTAATAGCAAGTTCTGGAATGCGTTGAAAGTCTTCACGGCTACAATATCAAATAAATGAATGTCAGCTCTTAATAGAGGTAATTAAAAGTATCCATTTAATTTGGTATATTTGCTATAGTATTTATAGCACTACACATCAGTGCTGCGGAATCATGAAATGCTGAACCAGGTTTAATAAAATAATTATGTATTTGTACTGTTGTGAGTCTGAAATGAGTATAAGGATATTTGCTTTAATTTGGAATCTTCTAGCTTTCCCATTATCTCAGTATCAATTAAAAAAAAAACATTTTTACCAAGCAGTAAATCTATATTAAACACAAGTGATTTCCACTAAAATAAAACTACAAAGAAAGGTTACTAGAAGACCCATCTTCAAAGAAGTGCAAGATGGTAATTTTTAGATTAACTTTCATGTTGCTACACTATCTGGTACCCAATCCCTTATCTATACTTTTGTTTTGAGCCCCATATCCATATCCATTCTTAATCTTTTTCATTCAAATGCCACAAAAAGTGTAATCTCCATTAACACTTTTCAGTAAGAGGCAAGAGTGCATTAAAAAGAAAAAATCAGCATGCTCAGTTATTTTTGCTTCAACTTTGTCAGCATTTTTAAAAGCTTCAGGTTTTTGTGTATAGAGCTTTTTGCACTAACTACATCTGCCCAAAATTGTTCTATGAAAAAGAAAGCTTTCTTTATCAAAATGTTTTTCAAAGGTGACAAAAGGTATAGTAGTAATTTATAGTATTGTAGTCTCTTATAAGGTATACTTCTGCAATTATATTGTTATATTTTTATTATATAATTTTAAAGATTATACCATTTAGAATGACAGAGAAAATCACCCCTTCAAGTCTGAGTGCACTTGAAAGAGAAAAAAAAAATCTGCAATTTGACCAACAATATCATTTCCCAGTGTTGTACACTGTTATGTAAAGGTTTACTAAAGAAAGATTGCAACCTAATAACTCAATTGTGTATATTAAAAGTCCACGTCAAGTGCTATTCTGCCCATCGCTAAGGAAAGCAAGAGAGTTATTTTAAGAATCCTTTTTTTCATTTATATCAATAGGGCCGTGCAGTACTTTGGATCTGAATGCATAAAGGTATTTCAGAGTACACACCTCCTTTCAAGTCCTTAAACCAAGTAGATCTTTTCCTGGGCTCTTGCTGCAGCTGCAAAGACCAGCATCATGATTTAGGAAAAGACACCACTGCCTTAAAGAGTGACAGACCGGGTCTACATGTCTACATGAGTGCCCTCATGTGCTCCAAAGCACCTTTTTGTCTATGAATCCAAAGTACTATACCCTGAATCCTATCCTAAAATAAACAAAATAAAAATCATACGTAAATGAAAAAAAAAGTTGATGGATTTATTTAGCGGTGGCCACTAAATACTAGCCAGATAGGTTTTACAGCTATTCTAGAAAACATTAAGGCTTCACTTTTATTTGAATGTTCTCCCAATGGATTTATGAATGAAAATTTAAACTGGAATGTCACTGTGTAAAAGTTTCCCATAGCACATCTCTAGCAATCTGAATACCACTTTTTCAGCCATACATACCTGTGCAAAAGTAACCAATTTCACTCTATTTGTTCAACTTATACAGCCACCCATCTCACTTATGTGACTCTGGGCAGCTTACAAAGTTAAAAACACAAAAACAGTACAAAAATATTACTATAGAACCTAATATATTATAATATAAAATATTAGAACATAAACTCCTCCACTTACTCTTTATCCCTTTTTGCTCAGATTCAGCTTTTAAAATTTAAACAGAGGACATCTGTCTCTACGTTCTATTTTTTACAACTGAACTTTAGGTTGAACATTAACCTCATTTTAACTACACTTTTAAAAAATCTATTTTTGTCATTGTCAGTCACCTTTAAACATGCCATTTTACTCATGAGGGGAATATTATTCACCAGGAATGTTAACCGGAAAATCTGCACAAGTCATAAAAGTAAATGAATACTGAAAAGTCTCATGTTAATTAAACTTCCTTACACTGGTTTAGGCTGGAACTTACAGGAAATGTTTGCTTCTTCTACTCATATGCCATAGCAACACTATCAGGTAAGGTCTACCCAAGCACAATTATCTTTTGAAGCATTCTTGCATATTTAGGTTGGATTGCTATCATTCAGAATGAGAGCCTGAGATTGTTGGCTGAGAGAGAGCAACTGGCCCAAAGTCACCCAGCTGGCTTTCATGCCTAGGGAGGGACTAGAACTCCCAGTCTCCTGCTTTCTAGCCTGGAGCCTTAACCACTACACCAAACAGGCTCTCCTATCATTCGGAATAGATCATACACCATATATTTAACAAACCAGCCTGCCAAACTATATTTGAACATTCTATTTTTATTTTATTTGCAGAGTTATAAATCAACAGATTGATCTACCATAATGTGTGATTAGAAAAAGATGTGGTTTCATTTCAGGCTAGCATTTGTTGTTCTGGTATTATCATCATGCTTTTCTCTTACATATATGCTACACATTCTGAAGAGTGTGACCACAGAATGAGTAAAACATAAATACTGAATGCACAGTTACAACTATGAAGTCACATACAAACTTCCCTATTGCAGTGTATAAAACAAGCATGTGTGGACTGCAAAAAAAAGGAGGGATAGAAACATGTCATAGTTGTGCATGGTAAAAAGATTTCTGACTTCAGAGACATTCATAGAGAAATCAGCTAGATGCCTACCATTGCTGGATGGAACTGTGCAATTTTTTTCTATATTGCTTTTATAATTAAGTAAATAATAATACATTCTTCTAAACCAAACATGTAGAAAAATAAAAATTAGGGATAATGTTAGGAAACATGAAGAGATGCTTACTGTACCATAGCTATTTTCAGTAACATAATGGGCAAAACCAAGTGGTGCAGACTTGTCCTTAGTCACAAGGCAAATAGCAACTTCTTAAGGTAGAAGGAAAAGAGATATATGCTATCTATTGTAATCAGAATGGAGAAGCAAAAAAATAAGTGGTACTTAGTTTAAATTAGATATTTCATGGAAAAGAATGCTGAAGAAATAGATAAATAATAACAAGTATATCCTTTAATAAACCACTTCCCAATACATATTACACATAAAGTATTTCAAAGCCAGCAATATTTTAAATATTAACATAGTAATATAATAAGGATTAGTGATAAATGCAATCTTAAAAATAAACTGGAAGTGCTACTGCACTTAATACATTCAGCTCATATGCAAAGTTCCAAAGGGAACTTATATAAGCTTCTTATATAAGCTTCTGCAGGCTACTGCCTTACCTCACTTAATGGAATGAAAGAAGTATGAGATCTGGGTCATAAGAATTCAGATAATGATAGGCCCTTCGTTTGGCAAAAGAAAGTAATATTTATTCCAATGAACATCAACAAAAATATTTCATCATAAAATTTATCTACAAACAGTTACTTGCATTCATCAGAATGGTGTACCACACAGGACTATATTCTAATAACTGCTACAAAGGATGCCAGATCGAAATCTTATTTTCATATGTATTACCTGGCATATACATTTCTGAATCAGTGAAAACTAAAATCATGGTCCTTATGAAGTATTATTTTCAGTCCAAATATTAAATAGTAAGCTTCTTTATAGATTTTATCAAGGATCTCTTTGAGACTTGAAGTAACCAATAATTTATAAAAACATGGCATAGAAGACTATGAGATATTGTGATAAAACACTCAACTGATTAAGCTAGAGTACAGACTGACATTTTCAGCACAAAGTGTTTTTCATAGAAAAAGTGTAAATTATGCCACACCTTCCCATAGCTCAGTGTGGAACAACCTGTTTAGCTAAATGCTGTTGAGCAATTGATAGAGACATTATTTACATACTTTTAATTTATTAAAATAATCAGGGTACAGTAATACATATAAAAAACCCTACTTTAGTGGCAGCATTTAGCCAATCTAGGTTGATCTTGAAAGCTAAACTAGTATGAGTAGGTTAATTCTTGGAGAGAATACTAGCAAATAACAATTGTAGGCTAGACTGGAAAAATATTCTAGAACAGTGTTTTTTAACCTCAGCAACTTTAAGATGCGTGGATTTCAATTCCCAAAATTCCCAAGCCAGCATAATGGTCGGGAAATTCGGGGAGTGGAAGTCCATGCATCTTAAAGTTATTGAGGTTGAGAAACACTCTTCTAGAAGAAGTCAATGGCAAATAACTTCCATGTTGTTACTATGAAAACTACTTGGATATATCCATGAAGTCAGTAGAATTTTTGCATAATTTAAAGTAAATTTTACTTAATCTATATAAAGCCACCATATTTTTATTATTTATTTACACTGAAATGGTATTCATTTGTAAACATGATCACCTCACAAACATTTTGAATAAAATAATCACACAGCACAATGGCTGAAATTTTGTATTCTATTCATCTTACCTAAATTGTCATCCAAAAATGAGGGTACGTTTAGGCTGTGGTCACCATTATGGAAAACTATTTTATTAAAAACTGTTTTCCTTTTGAGTCTTAGCAATGGGAGCAGTTTAAAAAGATATGGAGATGTAATGCACAGCCAACAAACCCACATACATCCAAAGTTCAATTCTATTTTTGAAGAATTTAAATTTATTCCAGAAATTATATAACCCTCATTCTCTATAACTAATCTGTTGGTTGAACAGTCTATTAAGAAAGGTGTGATGGCTTCTTGGGTTGTGATGGAAAGTCCCAAGACTCTTTAAGCACACTGTCAAATATCCCTTTCTACTAATCTATAGAGGCACAAATGACAAGCCAGATATAGCCCCAAAGACAGTACAAGAGACTATGAAGCGCTGGGCAGGAGGGTGAAGAAGTTGAGACACAAGTATTGTTTCCTTCACTTTTTCCTGTCAGATGTGGCCCAGGAAGAAAGAGAACTGACTATGCAAATGGTGCCAATGTGGTGAACACACTGTATCTTGACTTCTGCAAATTTAAAGTCTTGCATAATATTTTAATAGTGAATATGGCAAAATGTGAGCTAGACAATGTTATTATTCAGTGGACAGAACTTGGTGAATAATCATATCCAAAAGATGCATATCAATTAAGCTGTGGAAAGAGTTGAGTGGCATACCACAGGGCTGCTTTTTGCTGTTCAATGTTTTTATAAATGACCTGGATAAGGGATTTGAAAATACTATTATCAAAACTGCAGATGACAGAAAGACAGGAAGAAATAACAAATATCTCAGAGGACAGCATCAAATTCAGGATCATTCTGACAAACTGGAAGAATAGGAAGAACCCAGCAAGATCCCCCTTAACATAGATCTTGATGCAGATCTAGTGCACCAACATATTCTAGCACGTGTTTTGCCATCTGCTCTATCAGGATCTCATGGGATATTTTTAGAATGCCTTACTGAAGTCAGTGTACACCATGGCCATTACTTTTCTGTGTCCAACTAAACTGATCACTTTATCAAAAACAGTTGGCAGAATTTCTGACTACTAAAGAATTAAACCTTCTCTAAATATTCACAAACTGCTTAATAATCCATTCCAGAGTTTTGTCTAGTATGAGTGTCAAGTTGATTAGTCTGTAGTCCCCCAGGTCCTCTCTTCCCCCCTTTTTAAAGAGGAAAAAGATTTGCCATTCTCCAATCCTCTGGCACTCTTTCCATCCTCCATGATTTCTCAAAGATCATGAAAGGGGTTTCAGGGTGACACCTGCAAGTTCCTTCAGTCCTCTCAGACATAATTGGTTAGGTCATAGAGCCTTAAACGCATTAATGGCAGCCATTCTCTATTCATCACTTACCCTGAGTTGCCTATAAAGCTGCACAGTAAAGCAGGATTTGAACTTCATTTTTTTCACCAATCCCAACATTAACCACTACTTTAGCAATTCTGAACTCCATATACAACACAAGGATTAGGGTATCTCATGTTTAAACTAGCAGATGATACAGTAGACTTTAGTCCACAAAAATTATGCCCAAGAATGGCAATTCAGTGGCATGAGATATCATTGCACCTCCCAGATCAAATTAAAACATCATTTTTGTCTCTCATCTATACAATTTTCAGTAAAGGAAGCTTTTTCTCCTCGTAAGAGTCTATGGAGATTTCTTTACTTCTAAATTTTACCATAAAGTTCCTTGTTGCCTACAGGCTATGCTTATTAAGAATACAGATACCTTTCAAATATGCAAGCTATTTTAGAATGTGAGTTGGGGGGCAAGGAAAAGGAGGTAACGAGCCATTCGGAGGAGATTTGGTGCAGAACATTTCCAAAAAATAGGAAATAAGTAGATTGTTTTCTTTTGAAATAGCAGTTTAGTTAATATGTTTCAGCTTAAATGTTTTTGCTGAACAGTAAGGTAAAAGCATTTGAAATAAATATTAAGTACAATTCTATGTAAAATGTACCTCATATTTCAAGTAATCAGCAGTAAAGGAACAAATAGTCAAGAAATACACTGCAGAGTAGCACTTGGTAGAACAACCATGAAAGCCTTGGAAAAGATATTCAGATGCCGTGATGTGTCTATACCTACAAAGATTAGAATACGGCAAACAATGGTATTCCTTGTGACACTTTATGGAAGTGAAAGTTGGACTTTGAAGAAGCAGGATAAAGAGTATTGATGCTTTTGAACATTAATATTGGAGAAGATGCCTGAGAATATCATGAACAGCCAAGAAAACAAACAAACGGATCACTGAACAAATCACTTGAGACATAAATAACCAGGTTCAGTTTATGATACTTTGGACATATTATGCAAGGACCTAGGTCTCTAGAGAAGCAAATGCTGGGAAAGGTGGAAGGAAGGAGAAAAAGAACAGCAGCAAGGTAGATGGATTTCGTTATAGTGGCAATAGGTGTGGGGTTGGAAAACCTGAAGAGCAGGTTAGATAATAATGGAGAAAATCTGAACCTGGGAGAAGAATTTGGGGAAAAATGGCAAAGACTATTTGCATAAATGGAAAGTTAAGAGAACAGCTGATTAAGAGTACATACCTTAGAGTACCATTCTCTCCTTTGTCCAGGCTGGTAAACCGACTGTATAGACGAGTAATTTGACTATGAGAAACTGGAGAAGAAAGAAATAAGGCTAAAATTAAACAAAAATACCAACAATCCGTTATCTTACAGCAATTCAGAACCTGGATTTTGCAACATTCTTATTTTTAAAAAATCTTAAAATTGCGCTCACAGAAGATAAGCTTTCTGTTATCTATAGCATTAAAAGTTAAGCTAATGAATACCAGATGTTACCTTAAAGCATGTATGCAATCCAGTTTTCAAGGCATTATTATCTGGACAGTTTGCAAGTTCTATGATTTCCTAGTATTTGTTTCATTCTCCTTTTTCAGAAAAACACAAGATTCAAAATATATTCTTCCTTCCTTGGGTGCTATATTGATCTGAATGAAGATTTGCTATTTGGGAATGGTTCCTTTGGCTTATTTCTATTCCTTATAAACAGAACTCTATTGAGGAATATCCTGAGGCACAACACATTACTTTCTTTCAGGCAGCTTACACAAAAGGACTGCAGCCTTTCCTTGAACCAATTACTGCTGCCAGGAAAGGAAACAATATTCTTTGCTATGCATAAGCATATTCACTTATTTCAGAAATTCAGAAAGTGTTTTAACCTACAAAGAGAAGGGGACCTTAACAAAAAAAAACCTGAGTGGGAACTACCTATCAGGCTGATGATATACCAGAACAGCAGGACTTTCTCCTCTCTCCTGCAGTCCTTGCACATCTTCAAAATCCTTTCCTAGGACTGGGCACCTTAGATTTTGTGGTGTATTGTGTGTGTGTGTGTGTATATGTATATATACCAAGTAAAAATCAATATATGCTTCAGATTTTAAATGTAGAATTGCAGAATATATTTGCTCCTGCTTCTCCTCACTCAGTTTCAGTCCATCTTGTTGGGGTCACTCCATGACTACTTTTAGGCAATTGGCATTTGAAGCAATTTGCTATTTTATGTTCTATTTTGTGCAAAATAGAAAAATGTTTAATAGATTCAAAAGAAGGTTTCTATTCTCAAAGGAATAGCATTATATCCATTCCATGAATACTCCATTCATCTTCTTCTCTATTCTGTCCTAATCAGAACATAAATTTCTAGAGATCAAAATACCTATGCATAATATAAAGCAAGTAGGTAATCATTATGTGCCAATCTGAAAAACCAATGCCATCTACATAGATACACACCAATAAAGAGTTAATGTGCATATCTTTGCAGACTGCCTGTGCTAAATCAACAGGAGTAGTTCTCACATTAACTAAATCATGACTTCCAAGAACTGGCAGCTTAGGTACTTGTTAAATAATTATCCAGGTTCTTTATTTTAAATAGCAGAGGTCCTGACAATTCCAGAATGACAAATTTAAAGATGTAAAAGAGACCAAAAGGGTGCTTATGGGAAATCCACAAGACATAAACACAACAACACTCTTCCCAAGTAACTTGTACTGAGTTACTGTTTCTGATACTGGAGGCAATATATTTCCATAATGACACAGTCCTATCCTCTATGAATTTCCTAACCACCTTTTAAAACCAGTGTTATATGTTCTGTGTTGACTTCCAAAGTTTGACTAAATACTGTGTGAAGTACTTCAGTAATTATAATTAATTATAGTTTTATATCACACCTTTCCTCTAGGTCAAAGAGATATACATATGTAGAGGGAATAGAGAATGGCTTTGAAGGACAGGAGGAAGAGCCACTACCAAGGCAACAGTCAAGTAAGAGGGGCCTGAGCCCAGGCCAAGAAATGAGTTTGAGTGAATGTCTCAGACAGGCCCCTCCCTAATTGACACAAAGATAGGGGAGGGAGGGGGGAGCACAATCAGACTTGCAAGATTCTCTTACTATAGCTGTTACAATAAAAGTAGTCCTGACCCATATGGCATTTTATTTATTTATCAAATATATATAGCCACCCATGTCACTGAACGTGACTCTGGGTGGTGTACAACCAACAACAATGAAAACAATATAATAACAGTTAAAACAATTAAGCATAGATAAAAAAATAAAAACATAAAACCAAGATAGCAGAGAATAACAATCACCTAAACACAGTACAGCTACCTCACAGGCTCCTCAAGGTTGTTGGAAAAATCACATTTTAAGGGCTTTCCATAAGGCTAGCAGGGATGGGGCTAACCTCACCTCAAGGGGAATGATGTTCCAGAAGCTGGGAGCCACAGCTGAAAAGGAATGTCTTCTGGGTCCTGTCCCATTGGTTTCTTAGTCTGGTCTACCTTAGTGGGCTGACAACAGAGTACTCCTTCCTCCAATTTTATCACCATAATAATCGCCTTGTAAACTCTGTGTGATGAACTCCTGTCCTAAGCCATTGTGATGGACTGGAATGGAGGAAGGGGGGTGAAAACGGTGCTCTCGTCTCTAGAGCAACACTCTGGAGATAAGCGGAGAAAGCTGGCGCATCCCTAAACATTCCAGAAGATAGTAGAGAGTTGTGCCTGGGAACTGCTGGTCAGTCTGAGAAGATTTCTGTAAACAGGCGTTGGCTAATAAACTTTGCTGATTGATCCTGCATGGTCTCCAGGAGTTCTTTGGGCTAGGCCCGACGGCCATAATCTTTAACCTTTGGTCTCATAACATAGATAATTCCAACAGAGGCGAATATGTGTAGCTCAGGGTTGAACTGTGGAGTCCTTGGGGTTCTCTGAGCTTGGTTCTTTTCTTGCAAATGTTTCATTACCCAGCTA